CAATTCAACTACACTTCGACGGGTGAAGATCGAAAATGGTTTTGTCTATATGATAAAATTATAATAAATAAATAATTATCGTTCTACTATCGGTATCGAACCCTCTTTTGGGTTAATGCTGCGAACTTTGGAATTTATAAATTACATTCGTTCTCATCGCATCGGGATATATATATATATATATATATATATATATATATATATATATATATTACTTATACATTATTATTAATTAATTAATTTTAAATTATATATATTAATTATTTATTATGCTCTGTATATATATATATATATATTAAATATTTATATATTATTATTAATTAATTTATTATTAATTATTACTAGTTATATATATATATTAATTATTTAGTATGCATCGGATATATATATATGTATATATATATATATATATTTATACATATATTAATTATTTATATATTATTAACTAATTAATTATTAATTATTATTGATTATATATATATATTAATTATTTATATATTCTTATTAATTAATTATTATTAATTATTATTTTTCAGTTATATATATATATATATATATATATATATATAGTGTTATATATATATATACGTTAAATGATATATATATATATATATATATATATATATATATATATATATATATATATATATATATGTTTCTATCTATCGATCGATCGATCTATCTCCGTCACTATCCATATTTTTCCGTCTCTTCTTGTCTGGTCTACTCTAAGATCGTTTCTAACCTTGCTGTGTTCAGCTGCCGTCTCATCGCAACAGGTCGCCGGTAATAAAATAAAATGAAAAGACACAATGTTCAACAAATCCTGAAGTCAAATCCCAAAACGAAATCACTCCCATTGCTTCGTCTATCCAAAAGCTGGCATTATGCCAAAGGAATTCATGATTTTATTTCTGCTTTTTTGTTAAAACGATTGGTCGGTTTTATGGTCAAGTTGGCGACCTACTGCTTTCGGAGACGACGCAAAAACTGAATTGATTAAAAAAGAAAGAGACATGGCGAAGGCAAAAAATAACTTTACTTTGAATTTGACATCGTTTAACCCTGAAGACATTGTTTGGGAAATAATTCAGTGGGCGTTATTTTGTAATCAGCGACATAGTTATTTAAATAAGTCGTTCAATTAGGAAGCCATGACTACACTTACTTGACTGAATCACAAACGATTTTGAGTGATAGATCAATAGATATATACAGACAACGTACAAGATAACCTATTACTGTATGTCTATCTGTCTGTCTTCTTTCTCTTTTACACTCTCTATCTATTCTATTCTATTCATGTCTATCGATCTCAGTTCTTTACTCTGTCTGACATTATCTGTCTATCTATTTCCCCCTCTCTCTATATCTTTCTCTCTCTCTCTCTCTCTCTCTCTCTCTCTCTCTGACTATCTATTGGAAATTGCCGAAATAATGTTGTTTCGTCACCGTATCGTGTTAGTCAAAATTCATATCTATCTATCTATCTATCTATCTATCTATCTATCTATCTCAGCTTCTCTTCATATTCATATCTATCTATCTATCTATTTATCTATCTATCTATCTATCTATCTATCTATCTATCTATCTATCTCAGCTTCTCTTCATATCTATCTATCTATCTATCTATCTATCTATCTATCTATAGATTAGTCGTTGTTTATATCTATGTACGTGTTAGTAGCTCTTCATATCTATCAATAAATTAAGTATGAGTCGCTGTTCATATCCATCTGATTCTCTCTCTCTCTCTCTCTATCTATCTATCTATCTCAGTTCCTTTCTCACTCACACTTTATCTATCTATCTATTTATCTATCTTCTCTCTCTTTTACACACTCTATCCATTCTATTCTATTCATGTCTATCTATCCCAGTTCTTTAGCCTATCTATCTATCTCTTTTACACTATCTGTCTATTCTGTTCTATACATGACTATCCAAATTTCTAACTCTCTCTCTGGCATTATCTATCTATCTATCTATCTATCTATCTATCTATCTATCTATGAGTAATACAAATATAAAATTTGTCACCAAGCTCATAGACGAACCTATGTGTATGGTTTAGTCGTCAGGAGGTATCTGCCAATGTATACCGCTTTTCTTGTTTTCATTATTTTTATATTAAATATACGCTTTTATTTGTGTTTGGTTGACTTTTTTCTTCTTTGTGTGAATGTATGTGTGTGTATCTATCTCATTCGTTCTTTCTTTTTCTCTCTCTCTCTCTCTCTATATATATATATATATATATATATATATATATATATATAGATAGATAGATAGATATAAAAGTGAACATTGAATCAGCACCCTGAGGCGACAGGCTGTTTCATGCTAGACGCAATCGGTGGCCTGACGATTGCATGAAACAGCCTGGCTGTTTCATGCTAGACGCAATCGGTGGCCTGACGATTGCATGAAACAGCCTGTCGCCTCTAAGTGTTGATTTCAATGTTCACTTTTATATTTAGAGACCCTCTATCTTTGATATTGAGCACTTTATCCCATAAATATAGCACACCTTAAAACTATATTTCTTCATATATATATATATATATGTATATATATATATATATAGGATATATGCATTCATATATATATATATATATATATATATATATATATATATATAATGATTACAGCATCCTTAAAAATTCAATTGGTAGATGAGTATTTATTTCGTAGACTCAAACGTTATATCTGTTCTTACACTGAACACTCTTTTCGATTTATATCCTCCTTGGAATTATCGTTACTAATCAGAAAGTGATATATATATATATATATATATATATATATATATATATATATATATATATATATAATGTTGTTTAATAATTAGTAAGGATAATTCCAAAGAGGATGTAAATCAAATAAACTCAGTGTAAGAACAGAACAAATAATGATGATTAAATCGGACACTCTAGAATTCCATGGTAATATTTTATTTCGCGAGATCAAATCGATCTGGCCTCATCAGACCAAACAATTTCACAACGAATCGGATGAGATGAGATTGATTTAATCTTGTGAAATAAAATATTGCCATGGATTTCTAATGTATCCTTTCGTCATCATAAAATATATATATATATATATATATATATATATTTATATATATACATTTATACATTTTTTTTATAGTTACAAATATTTAAGTAAATGCTCTGTTTTATAATAAACAGTATTAACAACATTTACCGGCCTGAATGTCCGAAAAACTGTCGGAGGACGCATATTCTCTATGACAATTTCTCGGACATTCAGGCCGGTAAATGTTGTTAATACTGTTTATTATAAAACAGAGCATTAATTTATAACCCCTTACCGTAGTCAAGTTTGCTTCAAATTTAGGTCTTCAAAAGTCACGTGATTCGCCGGTATATACAATAAGCCAACAGTCAGCAAAGAGTAACAATTAACAAGGTTAGTCTGCTTGACCATGACTACTGAATTGGGAGTTTGATCCTCACTAGGTGCCACATGCAGATTTCGACATTAAATACAAATACTTTGGAATTTACTCCGAGGAGCTGCATTCACTGGTTCCCAGACGTCATGAGTTCAAGCGCCTTACGAGGCTGGCATCCCGCTCTCTTCCCTTCACTGTCGAAACTCCTAAATGTAGCCGTCTCTTCTACTCTAATAGCTTTATGTCTCGCACCTCTCGCCTGTGGAACTCCCTTCCCTATTCCTGTTTCCCTGCGAGCTATAATCTCCAGCTATTCAAGTGTAATGTCAATCGACATCTCCAGTTGCCTTGATCTATCCACTACCCTCATCCTTTCTTCTATCACTCCTATCTGATCTTGCTATTTTCTGTAACCCCTTGCGTCCTAGTGGCTTCCAGCCTTGCTTGGGGTGAAATGCTTAAAAAAAATAAAATAAAAAAAATAAACCAACAATTTCACTCAGCATAGGCTTAATCATGAACTAGGCTAATTTGGTTGACTTTTACTACTGAATTGTGTGTTTGAACCTCACTAGGTGCCTCATATAAATTTCGGCATTAACTACTGTATATACACGTCTAGCATGCGAATTTTGAAGACCAAATTTTGAAAAATAATTTTAAGACGGGTCGCATCATATAGAAGATTTAAAATTAGCGTATGTTGGACCTGGCTATGCCCTTGACCAAAGATTTTTATCCACTGTAGTCAAATTAGCTTCAAATTTATGCCTTCAAAAGTAAAGTGATACGCGAGCATATACAGTAAGCCAATAGTCAGCAAAGGATAAACTGGTTGACCATTGCTAGTGATTTCGGGGTTTGATCCTCACTAGATGCCTCATACACATTTCGGCATTAAATACCTATATACTCGCGTATTAGCCGAATTTTGTAGTCCTAATTGTGAAAAATAATTTTAAGAGGGGTCGCATCATACGAGACATAAAAAAACCGAATGAATTGCTGGCCCGGGTCGGTTACCTTCGGTAGCGGGGAGAGAATTAATTTGAGCCCCCGGGGTGGAAAAAGAGATGCTGAGAGAAACAAAATCAATCTAGCGTGTCTTATAAGACTTTTAAAGAATGTGTCATACTTGGCAACACTTGCGATAGATAGATAGATAGATAGATAGATAGATATGAAGAGAGAATGCGATAGATAGATAGATAGATAGATAGATAGTGTCAGAGAGAATAAAGAACTGGGATAGATAGACATGAATAGATAGATAGATAGATAATGTCAAAGAGGAAAGAACTGGGAGAGATAGACATGAATAGAATAGACAGAGCGTGTAATAGATAGATAGATAGATAGATAGATAGATAGATAGATAGGAACAGGGTGATATATATATGTAAAGATAGATAGATAGATAGATAATTTGAAGAGAATTAGATAGAAAGATAGATATAAAAGAGACTTATATATATATATATATATATATATATATATATATATATATATATATAGAGAGAGAGAGAGAGAGAGAGAGAGAGGGATAGATAGATAGATAGATAGATATGAACATGCTGATAGATAGATAGATAGATAGATAGATAGATAGATAGATAGATATGAACAGGCTGATAGATAGATAGATAGATAGATAGATAGATAGATAGATAGATAGGAACAGGCTGATATCTATATTTATATGTAAAGATAGAGAGATAAATAGATAGATAATTTGAAGAGAATTACATAGAAAGATAGATATGAAGAGACATAGCTAGCTAGCTAGCTAGATAGATAGATAGATAATGTCAGAGAGAGTAAGGAACTACTATACATAGACATGAATAGAATAAAAATAGACACTTGGCAACCCTTTGGCTCGAGAATTGAACTTTGAGAAACTCATCGTGCCTTTTGCTTCATTGAAAGCTCGAAAAATGCACTTTTAAGCTGCTTTGGAACTTGTTCTGGTCTACGTCTTTTTTTTTTCAATAAAATACCAGTTCGTAATTTCGCTCTCATCTTTATGTAGACCCCACCTCGCTAAACCCCTAAATGCATTTTCTTGAGGCCTCTCAAGTTTCGAGGCCCGGCACTGGTTATCTGTACCGCTCTAGTGATTACACCTGGCTCCTCCTGTTATCGTCTCCAGCTGTTCTGGTCAAACTCTCTGCCTTCGGGCAAAGAGAATCCCCAGATGAGGCTTATGTCGAAGGGCAGAGTCTCGTCTCAGGAAACAGCTACCCGACCCCGTTTTTGACAGGGTATACGGGGAATTTATTGCCAAGCCTACGAGCTCGGATACCCGACATCAAATTCGAATCTTATATATGTTGTTCTTGCGCTAAGTATTATCGTTCATTACCAACCTTTGTTTGATTATTCTATTCAACAACCTTTCCTAGGTTACAACACATTTTCACGACAATTCGAAACGACTTTTTCTTTAACTATTTTCCAAGTGGCTGAATATTCCATCTTGCCAAAGTGTAGCCACAATTTTACCAATTATTCGAACGAGTTAGCGTGCAATTTGATGTATAATGCCCGCTAAACACAATCATTCGTAAATTCAAGAAATCTTTAGTTTTGAT